GTATATGCTGTGATTACTCCCATCCTTCAAACAGCTCCCATTGTGCTTAGATTATCCAGAGAAATTTCGAATTTCTCTGGAGAGAAATTCGGAAGTCCAGAGAAATTTGGTGGACGAATCTGCAAACATCAATATCAGTTCCAGAGAAATTCAAAATTTCTCTGGAGATAAATTCAGAAGTCAGAGAAATTTGGTTAAAACACATTATGAAAACACATTTGATAATGGGGAGAGTTGTTGCTGATCTCTGTGCTTTACCTTGAACCACAATGGGTGTAAGTGCAGGTATTTGAAATTTTATCTGGATCAATTTTCTAATTTTCCCTTCCTTTCTCAAATCAAAATTTCTCTGGAAAGTCCTCAGAATTTCTCTGAACCAAATTTCTCTGTGATGTGAATTTTCTCTGGACCAATTTTCTCTGGACCAATTTTCTTTGGATCAACTTGAGGGACCTTAGACATTATGAAAATATTTGGTGTCCTTTATGCTATAAAATGTTAATACCAGGGACCTTAAAAAAAAAACCCCTTAACATTATTGTTTGCCCTAAAAAATAGAATTAAGAGATTTTTCACAAATATTATGGACGATTTAGAGATAAAATATATTGAGTCATGTTATATTTAACACAAGATACTTAGATGGTAAAAATGACTAGTATCATTTCATATTCTCATCAAAGCGTGTCATTATATATTATATAATTATAATTATATTAAAATTTATTTTAATTATTACATTGTGTTAATTTAATGTACCTGAAATCATTTATTAACAAATTAAACAAAAATTAAAAGTAAAATAGTTTATTCAAAATGAAATGAACTATTTTACCTCTTGAATTTAATCTTATTTTTAAATGGATATTATTGATTAAATAAAATTGGCAAAATATAAAAAATAAAAAATAAAATTAATGCAATTAAAGTTATAAGACACAAATTCATAAGGAATGACTACAGGTCCCGCCTTTTACACTTTGTGTGGTGAAAATTAAATTGACAAAGTATAAGATCTACAAGTGAAATGAATTTGACTTATTAAATAAAAACTTATAAATTTGTGAGCATCTCCAATTGAATGACTAAAAAAATGTGTTAAAGTATTTGTTATATGACAAAAAGTATAAAAGATGGGACCTAATTATGTGTGTTAACTTTTTATTAGTTTAGAGAGTGAAAATGTGCTCCAATGGTATAATTGTGCCTTAAAATATGTTATGTAAATGTAGGGTTGACTCAATATATATATCTAAAATAAAATTATTATTATTATTTTAAATTAGAAAAATAATTCATTTTTTTTAATTTTGCTCTTCTAATTCTATCTTTAATAGCAGGGTGCTGTGACAATGAAACGGCACTATTTTGTTTATTAACAAAAAATAAATAAAATAAACATAAAATAAAATAAACATAAAATAAATAAAACACAGACAGGCCTTACGCTACAACTGTGTTGCTTAAAGAACACATTGTGGACCTAATCCATTACTAAAAGTTAAATAGGGACCTTAAACCGATTTTCCCTTTTGTTTATTAACAAAAATAAAATAAAATAAAATAAACATAAAATAAATAAAACACAGACAGGCCTTACGCTACAACTGTGTTGCTTTAGGGTACAACTACACTTTTAGCCTTAAGCAACCACTGTATTTCAACATTTGTTTTCTTTTAAAATTAAGGATAAATTACATTGGTAGTTTTTAAATTTTATTTTTTGTGTTGTATTGGTTTCTACATTTTTAATTTACTCAATTTTAATACTTAATTTTGTAGACTTTTGTGTCAATTTGGTCAAATTGATAAGTTGGTTGATATTAACTCAGTAAATTGATAAAATTTATAAATTTACCCTTAAAAAGAGTAATGTAATAACTTATAATAATTTTTTGACTAAAATTGAAAATTGTCAAACGAGGCCTCGTTTGGGAACAGGCTAATTTAGTAACTTTTTGGCTATTTGGCTAAAAAGGTAGGTAAAAAAAACTTGTATGTTTGGGATGTCTTTTTGGCTAATTACGAAAAAATGTGCAAAAAGTAGAGAGAAAAGAGAATCTTTGACTTTTTGGTATGGATTGTTGGCAACTACACTTTTAGCCTTAAGCAACCACTGTATTTCAACATTTGTTTTCTTTTAAAATTAAGGATAAATTACATTGGTAGTTTTTAAATTTTATTTTTTGTGTTGTATTGGTTTCTACATTTTTAATTTACTCAATTTTAATACTTAATTTTGTAGACTTTTGTGTCAATTTGGTCAAATTGATAAGTTGGTTGATATTAACTCAGTAAATTGATAAAATTTATAAATTTACCCTTAAAAAGAGTAATGTAATAACTTATAATAATTTTTTGACTAAAATTGAAAATTGTCAAACGAGGCCTCGTTTGGGAACAGGCTAATTTAGTAACTTTTTGGCTATTTGGCTAAAAAGGTAGGTAAAAAAAACTTGTATGTTTGGGATGACTTTTTGGCTAATTACGAAAAGATGTGCAAAAAGTAGAGAGAAAAGAGAATCTTTGACTTTTTGGTATGGATTGTTGGCTTTTTGGTTAGTAACTTTTTGGCTAATTGGCTAAAATAGCCTCTTGCCAAACGAGGCCAACACCTTCCCCGCTTTTGGAATTAGAGAGGACTAAAGAAAATAGGAGAGCAGTTTGGGCCTGCTTTATGTGAGTCTTACCCATGTCATTAGCGATGTAATTAGAGAAGCAAAATTAAGGCGATGTAACATTCCTTTTTAAACTATTATGTGTATTTACATGATTTAACCCCCCAAAAAAGTACAGACAAACTAGCAGGTAGAAAGAAAAATACTTAAGACCTCAAAAAAACTCTCATTATGCGAACCAGATTCCGCAATGAAGAGTACGAAGGATCTTCGTGGACGAACTTTGGTGCACTGATAAGTGAAAGCCTGCATAAGGAATTGATGGCTAGGCTGCCTAACTGGGATTTAGTCGAAAACCTTCCGACGGTCGAGTAAATACCAATGTCTGGTAAAAAAGACGAGTGTATAGAGAGTGTAATTGAATTCGGATCTCCCCTTTTTAAAGGAGGATGAGTTTACCTTTTATAGGGAAGGCCTTGCTCACCAAACACCTCCATTGACACCTAACACTCTTTAATGTTTAGCTAGATCACTCCTCGTTGAAGGATAGTAGAGACTTTGTTAGGCACTTAAGTAAGTCGTTCCGTTATTTGCGGGTGCCATGTGTTCTTCACGTACATGGCGTTGGTTGATTTGTTAGAGCTCAACTTATCTCGACTCACTTCAGAGTAAGTGCGAGTTTTGGAATCACAGTCATGGACTTGCCCACATCGGAGTGGGGAAATGGGCTAGGGCTAGGCCCATGATGGTGCCCACTTCAAAGTGGGGAAGGGTACTAGGGCCAAACCTCTAGCTTGGCCCATTTTGTAGTGGAGACGAGGGCTAGGGCTAGGGCCATGGTGATTTCTATAGCGACGCGGAGAAGGGTGCTAGGGCCAATCCCCTAGCTCGGCCCACTTCATAGTGGGCCTTCTATTTGACTAGCTAAGTCATTGTATAAATGAGCTTGAGTAATCGTGCTCCATTCACCCACAATTTTATCCACAATGATATGTTATGATGATTGTTAACTTTTAATTTGTTACATACTTAATGATTGATGCCCAATTCCTTTTTCTAGTATGAGATCCTCCCAATAATTTAGAATTTATATGTCCAATTCCTTTTTCTAGTATGAGATCCTCCCAATAATTTAGAATTTATATGTCCATTTCTCTCACTTTTTTCTTTTCTTAATTTTTTTTTTTTTTTGTGTGTGTAATGAGTAGTACTCATAAACTGAAGCAGTAATGGACAAGGAGAATGGGGCCGCGATGAGTGGTGCGAAGAAAACTAAATCCTGTTAGGGGTGGTGTGGTAATATAAAAGTGGTCTTCATTAGGGATCGAGGATTGAGAAGTGCAAAACCCATCATGTTGCCACGCCTAGTGCTCGTACCTCTCTCTCTCTCTCTCTTCCTTAGCTACTGTACTTTCACAGTTAATTCTCTCTATTTTCCTTAGCTATTGTACGCTCCACAATTAACTAACATAAGGGTGTTTTGGGAAATTGGTAAAAAGTTGTTTTTTGACTTTTTGCCAAGTTTTTTAGCTTTTTGAAAAATGATTTGAGAAGTTGGTAAAAAACTAATTTTTTGCTTTTTAATTTAATATTTATTTATGGTGTCAAATCAAATTAAAATGACCAAAATACCCTTACCCAACATAAGAAATTTATTTATTTTTATTTTTTTGTCATAGGGCCTAATTTGTAATTTCACACCTGCGTTTTTGGCCCTTTCCAAACCAAATTTGTTGCGTTTTTGGCCACTTGCGTTTTTGGAAAATGATAAAAAAACGTGGCTTTTTATGGCCCTTCCCAAAACGGCACATATTAGCCAACACATTAAAAGACAAGATTAGGAATTAGTTTTTTTAGCCAAAAAATAAAAAGATATTATTAAAAATTCAATTTTTTTTTCTTTTTACATATATTTTTATAAAAAATTAAAATAACTAATTCTCAAAACATCCCCAACTAAATAACACATAACTAACCCATTTGAAACAAAAGTAAAAATAAGAATTTACCGATCATACATCCAATGGAGATGCTAACCCATTACAAAGCCGCTTTAGGCCTCTTTTGGAATAGCAGGTCAAAAGTCAATTTTTAATTTATTCTCGATCATGTCATCTGTTAGTATTTTTTATATATATTTTTAAAAAATTAAAAAATCAAATTTTAAAATAATAGTTAATTTGAAATGTTTTAAATAAATTTACTTTTTGATTTTTTTATAAAAAAAAATATATAAAAAATAAAAAATATTAATTAATATAATCTAAATAAATATATTTATATAAAAAAATACATTTGTTTAACCCAAATAAAACTTAAGTCATACTAAGTGGAAGAAAGAAAGAAAAGGACAAGTAGCCAACGGTTTAAATCACCCCTTTTTCTCACTATAAAAAAATAAAAATAATCAAATAGGACGGCTCAGACAGAATATTATTCTATGAGCTTAATAAAGACAATTTGGTTTGGATATATATACAAATCCACACCCAAACTTCAAAATATATATCTCATATCTATACACACAATCGAGGAGCAACTGTGCAATATACAGAAATACAGAAATGGATACTGCTGCTTCATTGACGACCGTCGATCACGGCGGTGGTGGTGGCACGACGATCTCCGCCGTCCACCCCGACATTCTTCAGACCCACATCCTGACCCGACTCGACGGCCCAACCCTCGCCTCCGCCTCCTCCACGTCCTCCCAACTCCGCGCTCTCTCCTCCCAAGACCAACTCTGGCGTTACATCTGCAACGACAAGTGGCCCTCCACCGCCCACCCACGTGTCCGCCGCCTCATCTCCTCCTTCCCCTCGGCCCACCGCTCTTTCTTCTCCGACTCCTTCCCTTCTCTGGACCACCGCCGCTCTCCCCCCAATCGCCGCCGTACTCCGCCTCCTCCTTCCCAGCTGTTCTCCGCCGTCGATCTGCATTACCAGACCAAACCCGTTCTCTCCAAGGCCCTCGCCACCGAGACTATAACCGGGTTGATGCTCGGCGCGGATTTCCGGATCGATCTTCTCGACCCGAAAGAGACCGTTCCAATGCCGGTGAATTTGGATTTCAGGGACGACACGTGCGAGTCGGATCTCGAAGAGAACTTGACTCTCAGCTGGATCGTGATCGACCCGGTTCGAAATCGGGCCGCGAATTTCTCCAGTTTTAGACCCGTTTCGGTCGACCGGAACTGGTTGACCGGAGATATAGAGCTCCGGTACGTGACGGTTCTCTCCGGTGACCGGAGGGGTGAGGTGCTACAGTGTTGTGCGATTGTCACGTGCGGGGGGAGAGAAGGAGGGGGGTTGCACGTGAGGGAGGTGAGCTTGCAGGTGGAGGACATGGAGGGGAAAAATTTGGGGTGGGAGGAGAGTTTGGTAATTTTGCTGGAGGCTGTGGAGGGTGGGAAGAGAAGGATAGGGAAGAGAGGGGAAGAGAAAGAAGGTTATGAGATGTGCTTGAAGATGAAGAAAGAGAGAAGCGAGAGAAAGAAGAGGAGACAGAAGAGGCTGGAGGTGGCCAGCATTGCCACTGCTGTCACCATTTTCGTTGCCTTTTGGGTGTTTGTTGTTATTAGGATTTTACAGTTTTTACATTTGGTTTAGATGGGAAGTCATAAATTTTATTTTATTATTTGTTGAAAAAAAAAATTAGGAGGAATGATAAATACGGATGAGTGACAAATTAAACAGTGATAAAGGTGTATTTTAATCTCGTATGTAAATAGTAATTTACAATGTAAGAAGTGATGGTGATTGTTTCATTATAATGAACTTATTATTATTATTTTCTAGTATATTCTAGTTTTATTGTTTCATTGGCCAACTCTTGTACGTGAGAAACCGTGTTAAATTAATAGGTAGTTGACAATAATTTCCCTGTTCAAAGAAAAAAAAAAATGGTAACAATTTCATTACTTATATTATTACATATATATTTTTTTTCCATAAAACTAAACAATCAATCATTCAGTTGTTAAGCAGAATTTGGGGATGCTATTGTGCGGGGTGCGCAGCAGCATCTGTTGTGCGACAAAATAGGTCCATTTCTGGGTCTATTTTGATAATTCGAACCGTTCACATTTTAGAATACATAAAGTAGAACATGCCTGCAAAAAATCAAGTTAATCGGATATCGTTTACCTATTCATCCACTCACATTGGTATTCATTTTAATACTTTAAATCACAATTATTATTTATTTTTATAGATAGAAATGTGAGTGAATAAATGGGTAAACGATATCCGATTAACTTAATTTTTTACAAGCATGTTCTACTTGATGTATTTTAAAATGTGAACGATTTGGATTTTCGGGGCTCATTTCGCCGCATAACAGGTGCCGCTGTGCACCCCGCGCAGCAGCATCTCCAATCCCTGCTAAGCAACCATCTTAGGCAATCCATTTTTACAAAATTCATTGCAAAATCTATTTTCCCCACAATTAGTTATAATCAATGACAAAAATTAAGATATTTGACTTAATGATTATGTAATATCTTTTGTGGTGTGAGATTTTGAATTCAATTCTTATAAAAAGTAGTTTGATATGCTTTATGGCCTTATAGGGATTGTTTGTGATTAGCAGTTATTGGATTTGGGCTTACTAGACTTAATTTTTTAGTTGACTTTATAATTATTATGATTTAATGATTATATTTATAATGATAAAAAAAAATTATAAATAAGTGAATACAAAATAATTCAAATTTCAGTAGGTTATATGATCCCACTAAAATCCCATGTCGCTCGGCGGCTCCGCCCATTGTTGTTGCTGTATTTTTTCTTTTCTGTACCCCGCCCATTTTAGTTGTTTCATTTTCTTTCTTTTTTGGGATTAACTCGTTTACAGCCCATAGTGTATGTATTACAGCAACCAATTATCTTACAACCGTGCTGCTGGGTGACTCCCAGCACCCTCACCTCCACGTGAGGATAGTAAGTGAAAAAAAATAAAAATAAAATAAAATTATGGACTAATAAAAAGACAGTAGGGTGGGGGTCGAGTAAGGATTCTTTCCTTGGTTCTGTTTGTTTTAGGAGATAAGGATTGATAGTGAAGGGATTAATAGTGAGGGGATTGATAGTGAAGAATTATTAAATTATTTTTATATAAAATAATAAAACAAATAAAAAAATATAAAAAAATAAACATTATATTTAAAAAAAAATTCCCAATATATAAAAAATAAAAAAATTTCCAATCATCTCACTATTTTTTGTAATACCATCTCTACCTCATCTTTACCAATCTCCCTCACTCCTCCTTACTAATACCAAGGGATTACTAATCCCCTCCCTATCTCTCAAAACAAACACTCCATTCTCAATCTCCTCCTCACTATCAAACCCAATCCCCTCCCCATAACCCCAAACAAACGGGGCCCTTGTATTCTCTACTTAACTCCCTCCTTGCAACGGTAAAGATTCATTAAAAGAGAATCTAACGGCTCAAATCACTTTATTAAAAAAAATTAAAAATTAAAAAGTAATTTTTTTAAAATGAACTAAACCCTTGAATTCTCTTGAGATGAATCTTGACCATTGTAAGGAGGGAGTCAAGTAGAGAAGGTAAGGAGAGGATCCTTACTCGTGGGGGTCACCCCCACTGGGGATCTGGGGCATTTTCCAATTATCTTATGCCATATCATCATTTTGGTTTCTTATTAATATTCATATGACCTGAGAATTAGACAAGAATTCCACCCACTCCTTTTCTTTTTCTTTCGCAGCGGGATGTCCATCACCGGAAGTTAAAGTCCGGCGAGCATAATGATTAAGGCAAATCATTATTAGATTATATCACAAAAATAAATGGGATTGGTAACAAATTTACCACTACGATGGGCACAATCAATCCAGTAAATCCACCAGCAGTACCCTCAATCTTCACAATCCAACCAAAAACAAAGAGAAAATTGGAGAAAACAGACCAAAAGCAATGGGGGTGGAGACCCACTAAGGGTCCCGTTTTAATAATCTGAACTGTTCAATGTGAAGAACTTGTCGAGTATTATATACCTATAAAAAATCACGATGATCGGATATCGATAGCTATGTGATTAAAATAATTTTTTTATCAACCATTAATTTATTTACCGTCTTTTTTTTATACAAAACTGATTTGATCACATACCTATCGATATCCGATTAACATGATTTTTTATAAGCATATAGCATTCGATGAATTCTACACATTGAATGGTTCGTATTATTAAAACGGGATCTGTTGTGAACCCCAAAAGCCGCACAATACTATCCAATCTAATCTCGAACCGGACCAAAGCCAAACCCCAAAAAATATATTGTATAATTAAAATTCATTTAAAATGTAAAATTTATCCATCATATCCTGCCCTCTTTCCAATTTTGTCCCCACGTCTGATATTGGAGTAGTTGGGTGTAATTTAAACGACATGCTTAGAGTATTATTTTTTTTTAAATCTATGTTAAATTATTTGGTATAATTTTTATATTTTATCAGACATAAATAATTTAAATAAGTTAAAATTTTGATTATTTAAATGTTGAGAGAGGAGTGTTTTTGGTTTTTATTTTTTTATTATTAACTTTCAACTTACAAAATGCTATACCAAACAGGCCCATTAGAGGTGACGCAACAATTAGCAAATTTAGGGTTCGTTTAGAAAGAACTTTTTTAACTTCACTTTTTGACTAATCCGACTAAATTAGTTTCGTTTGAAAAGAATTTTTTAATTTTTTAAATTTTTTTATGAGAGAAAAAATGAAATTATTATAGTTTGAATGTGACATTTTTTCTTATTAACTTATTTATCTTATTTTGTCTTTTTGTGCTTTTTTTTTTTAATTCTAACCTAAACCCAACTCACTTACCAAACAGGGACTTATTGTCTAAGGCTTACCTAAAAAATGTTAAGACATTCATATTGCAAAGGTAGGAATGGCAATGGGGGGCAATAGAGTGGATATTCAAATTTAGGGTTCGTTTAGAAAGAACTTTTTTAACTTCACTTTTTGACTAATCCGACTAAATTAGTTTCGTTTGAAAAGAATTTTTTAATTTTTTAAATTTTTTTATGAGAGAAAAAATGAAATTATTATAGTTTGAATGTGACATTTTTTCTTATTAACTTATTTATCTTATTTTGTCTTTTTGTGCTTTTTTTTTTAATTCTAACCTAAACCCAACTCACTTACCAAACAGGGACTTATTGTCTAAGGCTTACCTAAAAGAAATTCATATTGCAAAGGTAGGAATGGCAATGGGGGGCAATGGAGTGGATATTAATTCCCCATCTCTATTCTCTTATAATAAATTTTTCTCATTTCCCATTCCCCATGGGTACCACCCTCCCCATTTTTTAATGGGTATGGATTTTCCCCAACCCACTTTAATCCCCATTTTTATTTTTTATATTTAATGTTAACAACCACTTTTTTTTCTTTTTTTTTAAGGTTTGCAACAAAAACTAAATATACCTTCAATCTTTTTTCTTTTTTTTTAATATATTTAATGTTAACAAATTTTTTTTTTTTTTTAAGGTTCACAACAAAAGTTAAATATACCTTCAATATTTTTTCTTTCTTTTTTAATATATTTAATGTTAACAACATTCTTTTTTTTCTTTTTTTTTTTATAAAGGTTTTAGCTAAATATACCTTCAATCTTTTTTCTTTCTTTTTTAATATATTTAATGTTAACAACTTATTTATTTATTTATTTATTTTTTTTAAGTTCACAACAAAAGCTAAATATACATTCAATCTTATTTTATTTTATTTGGTTCAACAACAAAATCAAACACACATTAATTAATTAATTAAAAAGTTTGTTTTATAATAATCAAATATATAATTTTGAGAAAATCAAAAAGTTTGTTTGAAGAAAGTGTTTTAAGACTCATATTAAATTGCATTAGGGCATAAATAAGGAATTGTTTGTTGATCTCTTAGCCACGGATATTTTAGACATTAAACCATCTTTCTCTTAGCAAATTTGAACCATTCATTTTAATTTATCCAAAATCTAATTATACCTTTAACAAATCTGAACCACTCATTTTAAGATATCTATGCATTACCACACCCAATCCATCCTCCATCTTCTTGCTTTAGTCTCCCACGAATTTTGTTGTTTGTTACTTTTAAAAAACAAAAAATATTTTTTCAATTAAATTTTTACTAATTTCACAACACCATCACCACTATTTTCACATTCACTGTCACACTACCATCACCATAGCCACTACCATCATCACTACCGCCATCACCCCACCACTATGTAACAATCTCTACTTTCACCTTCGTTCCATCACCACCACCACCAAATATAAAAAAATATATTTTTAATTTTTTTTATAAAAAATATTTTCTATTTGAATAAATGAAGCATAACATTGGGAAACAAGCTGATTTCAGTTAAATCTGTTCATAACTAAGAAAAAAAATTTTAATTGAAAAAAAATTATTTAGTAAGACTTCGTATCCCCTTTTTGTTTTTCTAGCAAATAAATCTTTGTACCCATCATTTCTAACCAATCACGACTCATGCTTGTTTTGATTTTCTACAATTTCCTTATGTTCAAATACATTCATATATATATATATATATGTTGTATAAATTGTGTGTAACATAAAACAAATAGATTCATACTCGTTAATTGAAATTTCAGAACAAGCAAACCATTCTGAAAATTACAATACACAACAAAATAAAATAACATAGAAAAGCAAACCGAAACCTACACTAGACAGTGCCCTTAATTTTTTTAAATAAATTAAA